AGATCTGAGTACCACATATTCTCACTCATATAGTGGACCTTGATCATCCAATGCACTACTATAAGAAAATGACTGACAGTGTTGGGAAACTATGGGGGGGATGGGACTAATGGTAGTAAACATCTGTCTGGAGACGGGGAGACACCAGTTATCAACAAGGGGGCCTGAATGAAGCATATTTGTATACCTAACCCTTAACTGTACCCCACAATATCAAAATAAAAAATATTGATTAAATTTTTTTTAAAAAGTTGAGAATAATGCTAAATCTCTGTTAACTACCACTATTTTTCTCTATGTTTTATTATTTGCAATATTTCATATTTAAAAAGAAACAATGGGCAACGTTGGGAGGTTGGTGTGGGAGGATTGCTTGAGCCCAGAAGTTCTAGATCAACCTAGGCAACATAGACCTTGTCTCTTAAAAAAAAATAATTGATCTGGGCATGGTGGGGTATGCCAGTAGTCCCAGCTCAGGTGGGAGGATCACCTGAGCCCAGAAAGTCAAGGCTGCGGGGAGCTATGATTTTGCCATTGTACTCCAGCCTGGGCAATAGAGTGAGAACCTGACACCCTGACTCAAAACACAAAACAAAACAAAACAAAAAAACAGATGGGCTTGGTGGCTCATGCCTGTAATCCCAGCCTTTTGGGAGGCAGAAGCAAGAAGATTGCCTGAGCTCAGGGGTTCAAGACCAGCCTGGGCAACTTGGCAAGACCTCATCTCTACAATAAATAAAAAAGTTAGCTGGGTGTGGTGGTACACACCTGTGACTTCGTCTACTTGGAAGGTTGTGGTGGAAGGATTGCCTGAGCCCAGCAGGTCGAGACTGTGGTGGCTGTGAGTGTACCACTGCACTCTAGCTTGGGTGACAGAGTGAGACTTAAAAAAAGAAAGAGAGAGAAAACGGTGATATGAGGCAAATATGGAGACTGTTGAGAGTGGTGGCATGCGGTGTGGTGGCCACAGCACTGTCCCTTCCCTTTTCTTTTTTTTTTTATTCCTTTGACCAAAGCATCTAACTCCAGCTCCCACTGTGATCTTCCTGTGGTCCATGCCATGCAGTGTCTGTGTCCTCAGTGCCCAGGACTGTGCCTGCCACTGATCCTTCCCAGTTGAGAGGCGGGATCAAAACTTTGCTTCAGGTTTCTTTCTCAGTTTAAAACTGAAACAAACTGACTCTGATATATGCAAAAATAAACATGTTTTAGTTAGGATGTTTAGAATTTTCTTCAGCAATCATATAATTCTCCTTATTGACTTTTCTTGGCAAGGAGAAGTCATAACAGAGCCTTCAAGAAGCCAGATGCTTTGATTCCCTTCTCTCTGGGTCTCCAGTCTTCTCTGTGGAGTGAGGAGTTGAACTGGCTCCAGGACCTTCAAGGGAAGATCTGACTTGGGCACATGTTTCTGCTCACTGCAATGACAGACTCCTAGCTGCCACTTTTATTTTCCCAGTTATTCTACCAGTTTCTTTACTTTTAGATCTAGTGCATGCTGTTCTCTTCACCTGAAACCTTCTGCCTACCCCGTTTTTTTTTTTTTTTTAGGTCAAAGTGTAAGTAATTTTTTTCTCAAGGAAGGCTTCTTCCAAGGTGGGATTTCTGTACTCCCAAGGCATGCCTTTGTAGGAATTATCATAGAACATGATACATGCTAGTGTAGTTTTTACTTTTTAAGTAAACTGTAAGGTCTTTAATAGCTTGGATAGCTCTACAGTATCCTGTCACAGGGTTGATATTCAACAAATGTTTGTTAAATTTTGCTGAGACATTTTAGGACATAGAAATAAACATTTGATAAAATTATCATAATGTGCTGCTGGCACAGGAGTGGAAGACCGAACAGAAACTGAATGGAAAACTGAAATATGACCCCCTGTAATAGATGAATGATTTTAAAGCCAGTGGGGGAAAAGGAGAAGTTATTTAATAAATGGCAATGGGATAGTATTTATTTTTTAAAAATTTTTCTACTAAGCAATATGTAGTGAAATAAAAATTTCTAAGTGGGTTGAAAAATTAAGGGTAAAAAAATGAAACCTTGGAAATAAGAAACTAGCACACAATTGAATATTTATGCAATTTCAGAAAGGATGGGCTTTTCCAAGTCTAGTTCCCAAAATAGAACCATATGGAAAGGATGAAAGAGGGACAGGCCGGGCATGGTAGCTCACACCTGTAATCCTAGCACTTTGGGAGGCCGAGGTGAGAAGACTACCTGAGTCCACTGGTTCGTAAGAGGGACTGACTTAGCTTCCTATAACCAGAAAGAAGATTTGCTACCTGCATTTTATTGCTGCCCTAACACGTTACCACACGCTGATTGGCCTACAACAGTAGTCTTATCTTAGAGTTCTGGGAGAAGTCTGACATGAGTCTCAGTGGGCTAAAATCAGGTGTCAGTGGGGCTGGTTCCTCCTGGCAGCCCAGGGAGAACCATTTCCTTATCCTCTCCAGCTTCTAGTGACTGCCCACATTCCTTGGCTCGTGGCCTCCTTTCTCAGTCTTCAAAGTCAGCAATGTTGCATCTCTCTGACCTTCTTTCATAGTCATGGCTCCTTCTGACCATAGCTAGGAAAGTTCTCTGCTTTTGCCTATTCATGATTAGATTGATTATGATTATCCTGTATAACCAAGAATTCTCTCCTGTGTCAAGGTTTGTATTCTTAATCATATCTGCAAAGTCCCCTTTGCCATGAAAGGTGACACATTCACAGGTTGTAGGCATTAGGGCATGGACTTCTTTGGTGGGGCCATTGTTCTGTCAACTACATCACTTGAGTGACTAAGATGGTATCTTCTGTGTACAAACAGGTTTTTTACAAATCAGTAAGAAAAGGGTGAGCACCTTATTAGAAAATGGACAGAAGGTATGAACAGACAGTTTGCAAAAAATAAGAGGTACAAATGAACAAAGTTAAAAAAATGGCCAGGTTTGTAACTCATGTCTGTAAGAGGCCTAAGCAGGATTGCTTGAGACCAACCTGGACAACATAGTAAGACCCCCATCTGTCTCCACCCCCCCAAAAAATTAACCAGGTTTGGTAGCACACATCTGTAGTCCCAGCTAAGTGGGAGGATGAGGCAGGAGAATTGGTTTTGCTCAGTGGGGCTCCAGTGAGCTGTGATTACACCACTGCACTCCAGCCTGGGCAACAGAGAGAGACCCTATCTCAAAACAGTAAACAAAAACAAAGTTAAAAAAATTGTTCAACCTCACTAATGAATTAGAAGTCACACAGTCAATTTTGTGACCACTTTTCTCCCATCAAATTAACAATGATTGATGATGTGTCATACACAGCAGTTGGGAACATGAACTACAACTCTTTGGCAGTATGTGCCAATAGCCTTTTTAAGCATGTGCTTTGTATCCCAGTCATTGCATTTCTAGGAATTTAGCCTCAAGTGGCATGGTAGTTGTATACAATTATTTGTCTGCAAAAATATATGTTAATTTTTGTAACTACAAACAGTTTAAAATAAGTTAAATGTCTCACCCTCAACTTTGATTAACTAACTTATGTTGTAGCTATATGGAGGGACAGTGTGGAATGAGAAATGAGATTATTGTCCAGGGAGACAGCATAGACCAGCAGTGAGTTAGCTGGTGTTCATTCTATTACGGATTTTAAAAACTTAAAAGAAATTTGAAATTGTTATATGCCACTACACGCCAGCCTGGGCAACAGAGAGAGACCCTATAAGGAGTTACAACTCCCTTACAAGGACTTACAGAGACATTTCTAGGGGGATCTGTATATGTTTTACCTCATTACTATGCTTTTAAGTTTATATATGCTGCTCATATTCTTTTTATGTATCAAAGGGAATAATTTAAGTAAGTTGAAGAAAAACAAAGTATGATACAGAGAAATAGTAACTATCTATTATTAAGTAAAGAAGATAGAACTTCATTCTACTTTTAAAGATTAAAATATTCATGTCTATATCTGAACACATCTGTCTGTGTTTGTCTTATATATACCACCCCCTTCCTCCCAAGGTACTGCATCAAAATGTCACAGTGGTTATCTCTCTTGTGAAGACCCTATCAGTTAGAATGTCTGACAGTAGTGGCTTCAACAAACAGGGATTTGTTTATTTCATGTGCCTGTGGGAAAGTCTGTGGGAAGCAGTCCAAGATTGGGTGGCAGCTCAGTGAAGCCATCACAGACCCACACTCTATCCTGTCTTTCTGCCCTGCTGCCCTATATGGGTAGCTTTATTCCTTATGCAAAATGGGTGAGGTCCCAGGCCTCACCTCTGTGTTCCAGTCTGGAAAAAGGGGGAGAAGCTAAAGGTCAAAAGAATGCTAGCTTAGCCTTTCTTTTTGTTAGGAAAGTTGAAATTCCCATTTATTTCTCACTGGGTTGTGCTGTGTCACATGGCCATCCTGGCCGAAGTCAGCCAAGGAGAAGGTGGTTCAGAGTAGAGGTTGCTCAGCTGACTGACAGTGTCTGCCATGCGAGGATATTTTGTTTCCATCTGTTTTCCAAATTTACTATCACGAACATAAGACTTTTATGATACAGCCATTGTATCTTTGAACAAAATTATATTGATCTTTTTGTGATTCTGCATTTGATCTTCAGACAAAATGATACCGGGTGAGAATTCCTAGGTGGGCATTTTGTTACCAGTTATTCCTGTCCATGAACAGAGGCTGCAGTCGCCTCATTATGCTCCCAGATGCCTTTGTCACTGTGTGGATGCCTGAGGGCCTGTGGTGGGTTCTTGTAGGGCAGAGGCCCATTCCCAGGGAGGGGCTGAATGCCCTGCTTGTGTGTGGGATGTGGACTTGCATGGAGCCATTCATGCCTTCTCAACTGGCCCTCAGGACCCTGAGGTGCTCGGAGTGGGGGCCTGTGGCAGCTGATGGGAGCTGCTTCTCTTAACTGTGTGGGTTCCTTAGAGCTGGCCTTTTGGCAGAGCTAGTGGTGGGTGCTTGGGAAAGTAGAAGAAAAGCTCATTTGTTTCCCTTTCTTTTTCACTAGCATCCAGCATGTGTATGGAGCCCAGCACCCCCCCTTTGATCCACTGTTACATAGCACGTAAGTGATGCCTTAACCTCACCTGACTTCCCAGCACTGATGTGAAGAGGACTGTGTTTCTGCTTCTCCCTAGCCCCCTGGCGTTCCTGAGGGTGGAACGTGGTTTCTCATTCAGCAATGCTGATGAAGTGACACTGCTCGCCCTATATTCACCTGCTGGTGGGGATGGTGGATGTGAGAGCATAATGTGGGGGAGGTGGTGGAGCCACGAGGGGAGCTGGGGCCTGGCACCCTTATCTAGGGACAATCTGGTTCCGGGACCATTTGTGTTGTCTCACTGTTTCCCTTCCTCTTCCCTGCACTCTTCACCTTACTTGAAGCCTGCTTTGCCCTGTCCCAGCCGTTCCGCAGAGACAGGATATAGGACTTGGCATTGTGCTGGTGTGGCCCTGCAGGACTACACTTGTCTGACAAGGTGGGGCCAATGTTGTATGTTGTCAAATTTTGGGGGAATCTCGCTTAATTGATAAGTCTCCAAATCCATGTACTAAAGGCCTGAGTTCTCTGCACAGTATCTCCCACCCCACACCCGTCACCTGCTGCCATGGAAGCTTGACTGAGGTGCTGGGCATGCAAGAACATGTTTGCAGGCACTGGCCAAAATGAGTTTGGGGCATAGGTCTGCATATCATTACTGTGCAGTCCTGTGCTTTCTCATAAATTGGTGACATAGGCTGGTGACATAGGCTACTCAGCGTGACTCTCCCTGGAAACTGTCCTCCTTTCCTGTCACTAGATCCTCTTGAGCTTTGCTTACTCTTATTGACTGTTTCTATGAATTGTTTGCTTTTTCACATCACTTTCAGCTAGATTGAAGTTGAAAATTTTTATGTGTATCTTTTCATCTGGGGATTCTTTTCTGGCCAGTTTTGGGGTGAAGCCTCCGAGCATGTTAAGCAGACTTCTTTTGTATTGCAGCTTGCTCAAGTCTACGCCCAAGGTGCCCACCACACCGGTGAAGGCCAAAAGGGTCAGCACCTTCCAGGAGTTTGAGAGCAACACCAGTGATGCCTGGGATGCTGGGGAAGATGATGATGAGCTCCTGGCCATGGCGGCAGAGAGCCTGAACACCGAGGTGGTCATGGAGACGGCCAATAGGGTGCTGCGTAACCACAGCCAGCAGCAGGGGCGGCCCGCGCTGCAGGAGGCACCAGGGCCCGAACAGAAGCTGAAGCCTGAGACAGAGCTGCCTTCAGCCCCAAGTGGTGACCTTCGGCTGGTAAAGTCTGTCAGCGAGAGCCATACGTCCTGTCCTGCAGGTAGGGCAGGAGGACTGGAGCTGTGTGTGTTTCTGGTCGAACCAAGAAATAGGCTAGTGAATCCTTCACTGGAAGATTGAGAAGGCTGCCATCCTTACTTTCAGCAGGACTCCTGGCCCATGGGAGCCCTTAAGGTTATCTTCCAAGTGACTGAAGCACTCCCAGGCAGGAGAAGCTACCCGCACTCTTCTCACGGGGCTTCTGATCTGCTTTTCTTTCATCCTAGCTGAGTGCATCTCTCCTCCAAATGGTATGGCATGACATGTGGCTTTTGTGGACTTACTGTGAGAGGGCCATGGAGGAGCACAAGGGCTTGGGGGAGGGCCTGTCTCCCTTCTAGGTATACCAGCTCTTAATGTAGCTGAGGGCTCCAGGAGTGATATCGCCAGCTGAGGGGTCAGGCTGGCTACATATTCAGGGGCTGGACTCCTTTAGGCAGTTTATGGTGATTCCCACCAGGGATGCATACACATGGGAGTCTGACTTCTGGAATTGCCACGTTCAGGTTATAACCTTTTCAAGGGTAGGATTATATCTGTGTCTAATATCCATTGTGCTGGGACTCAGTGGCCATTCTTGTGACTGTTTCCATGACATTTACTTTTTATGTATTGGAGACAGATTATGTCTTTGATGAACAGCCACACAGTCATTTGAAGCGTATCTCTTGTGGGCCAAGCACTGTTTTCAGGACTTGGGATGCCCCAATGGACAGACTAGATATAAGTCCTTGCCCTGTGGAAAGTCTGTTCCCATGAGGGAGATGGATACTAAGTAAACTACATATAACTAATAAGGGGCCACAGGGTGTGCTAGAAGGTAGCCAGTGTCATGGGCCAAATTAGAGACAGGGAGTGGGGTTAGAACATGGGTGCTTATGAGAGCAGGGTGGGGAGGTCAGGGCATCCTCATTTGAACAGCATGATGAGTGAGGCATGGGAGCAAGGTAATGGGAGAGGGTCCAGTCAGTGAGACCATGATCCCTCATTTATACCTTTCTCCAAGGTTTTCTGGGGCTAGAGTGCTCTCCCCACATTCATAGATAAGGCAGAGATCATTATAGTAACCTAAGGTTACTCTGCTAGCAGACGTAGAACTGGGTTTCATACTTAGGTCTAGTTTTAGTCTTTGTTTATTTTTAGAGATAGGGTCTCGCTCTGTTGTCCAGGCTGGAGTGCAGTGGCACAATCATAGCTCCCTATAACCTCAAAGTGCTGGTCTCAAGGGATTCTCCTGCATCAGCCTCGCAAGTAGCTGGGACTACAGGTGTGCGTCATGTGATCATGCCCAGCTAATCTTTATTACTTATTACTTTTTGTAGAGATAGGATCTCACTAAGTTGCCCAGGCTGGTCTTGAACTCCTGGCTTCAGGAGATCCTCCTACCTCAGCCTCTTGAGTAGCTGGGATTATAGGCATGAGCCACTGTGCCCAACTAGGTCTAATTGATTAACTTCTAAAATGTTGTAGGTGTCATTAGGTGAGAATGCTATGAATTATTTCACTTGATCAGTCTTCAGTTTGGAATCAAATACATTTTAAAGTATTTGAACTTGCAAGTAGAAATCTGGTTATGGCTTTTGCAGGAGCTTAAAAATTCTGTTAACTAATTGAAGGGCACACTGACCACCTCCTGAAGGCCCAGTCCTGGACAACACTTTGGCAGGGTGCTTGTCAGAGCTGAAAGTGGTGAGGGATTCTGACCAGAGGCACGCTCAGGTTTCATCCAACCAGGAAGGGGGAGCCATGGGATGTCACCTTGGGATGTCACCCTGGAATGGCCTCATCCTAGAAGAGCAAAGTGAAAGATATTCCAAACAGCTTGTGGTGGGAGAAGGTGGCCTATGACCTCATTGCCTTGTGCCTCCTCCTGTCTTGGAGTTGACTATTTGCTTTTTTGTGTTTGCTTTCTGGGCAGGTCTTTTTTGAACACTTCAGTATAATAGCAGTTATAACATTTATTGATCACTTACTGTGTGGCAAGTACTGTAGCAAGCCCTTGTGGTAGTAAACTCATTAAACTTTGCAGCAACGCTAGAACATAGACTTGTTATTCCTATTTTGCAAACAAAGTGTGGAGAAGTCAGTAGCTTGCCCAGAGCAGCACACTGAGTGGGGGGCCCAGGGCATCTGATTCTAGAGTTCCACTGTCAGCCCCTAGCCTTACTGCATATAGAAGGGTTCTCAATGGGTTGATCCTGTCCCCAGGGGACATGTGGCAGTGTCTCAGGACAGTCTCGGTCATAGTTGGGGCAGGTTGTGTGTGTCACTGACACATAGTAGGTAAGGCTAGAGTTGCTGCTTAACAGCCCTCACCCTCAATTGTCCGTAGGTCAAGGCTGAGAAGCCCAGGTCTGGAGTTGGAGGTGCTCCTTCCTCTGGGCACTGAGCAGATTGGCGATGTGGAGGTGGCACGAGCGTGCAGGCTGGAGGAAGATATGGAGATGTTTCAGTTCCCCCGGACTTGACTGCCTGTTAGTTGTCAGTTTCCTTGGCAGTGGTACAAAAGTGGACACATCTCCATTCTCATTCTCAGGGTCCTCAGGTCATGGTACGGGGGGGCTCACTGCCAGCCTAGTGGGGAGACAGACATGTAAGTGAATAGAGGCTCCAGAAGCGTCCAGGTAGTGGAGTTTCTGTTTTGTCTTGTTGAGGAGGGCCAGGGGTAACATCAGGGAAGGCTTCAGAGAGGGGAGATGTCATGGGGCCTCCTGGGTCAGAAGGTTAGGTCATGTCAGCTGTGGGAACAGGCCAGTCATCTGAGCTGGCTCCATCTCCCAAGGGGAAGGACTATGTCTGTCAGTACACATCATCTGCATGCTTTGCAAGTTCCTTGAAGATGGCAACCATGTTTCAGTTGTCTGTTTCTCCTTGGTGTCCTATATAGTTGCATAAATGCTGCTGAAGTCAGCACTGTCTTGCTCAGGCCTTGTGACCATGTGGCTGTTCACCGAGCCCCACTCCTGTAGCCCCCTCATGCATCCCTGCTATGAGACGAGGGCCTCTGCTCAGGTGACTGACTTGTGAGTTCCATTTTACTTTGGTGCTCATATGAAGTTTTGCAATTTTGGGCACCCTAGAATGTTCTGTCTCATGGGGCTCAGTCCCGCCCTGCTGCATGGTATGTGTCTCCTCCTTCATAGTGTGCATGCAGCCTTGGAGAGCTGATGTCTGTGAGTCCCCTGCAAGTGCCCATAACCTGCATGCTGTCATCAGCCTTGGCCTTCAGTCCTTGACAGATGGTTGGACTGAAAATTCTATGATAGTACAGGAGGGTGGGTTTGTGGGCTAGCCTTCCCTGTGCCCACTTTTTACTTTTTGGGTATCCTGATTTTCTTAAAAAACCTTGAAAATCTGTCACCTTCATATCTGCTGTGAGATGTACTTTGCTTGTTTAGTAACCTTTGGGTTAATCACAAAAGCACATCTTTAGCTGGAAAGGGCTCTGGAAGTCCCTGCTCAGTGGACAGTAGGCCGGATGAAGGCTGTCCTGTTGCTGACTATGACCAAGTTGTAAGTGGGGTCTTGTGTGGATGCCAGCTGGTGGTTATACTATATTTTTTGATAGTTCCTGGGGATGGAATATTGATGTGATCTCTGTTCTTGGTAACAGGGAGACTTGGTAGTCAGTCTTACCATTTCCTCAGGGGACATTGCTGTTTCTTTGCCTTCAAAATTCCACCTGCCATCTTAGAATGGTGGCGCAAGTATGTCCTGCTCAAGAGTAAGTGGGTCCTCAGGTGTCTTGAAGTCACGTAGGTCATCTTTAAAGATTGTGGGTAAATCAAGCGGAGCACTTTTAATTCTGGGATACAGTGTGCAGCTCTTCTTCCTGCTGAATATTTTTTCTATAGAATCATAAATGCAGCTGGAGCAATAGACCCTAAAGGAGGGAATAAGGAGCTTCTGAATATCACTCATGGTCGTCCTCTCACTGTTCGGGTGCTGGTTTTCAAGTCTTCCCTGAGTCGAGACCTGTGATAGGAGGATTCTCTGGATGCTCCCTGCTGGGAGTGGGGGGAAGCAGGGATTGGGGATCTAGGGGAAGGAGACTGGGCAGTACGCTGAAGTCTATGCTCCCACATCAGCAGACCTTTCTTTGGAAATTTAACTGGGCCAGACACTGCCCAGAGGCCGTAGGTTGCCCTGCTCCTGGATAGCCTCAGGGTTTCTGTACTAAGCCTTCCCCCACTAGACTATGAAGGAATGGGCTGGTCTGTGGAAAGGGGGTGCTGAGGGGAGTGAGGCTCTCACCCCAGCTCGGCTGCAGCTGCCAGCAGTGGACGTCAGCATGTTGACTCTGCAGCCTTTGCTCTTGCTCTGTTTCCTGAACTTTATTTTTCACTCTAATTTTCGGTTTTTGAAAGATGAGATTGCTGGATGGGGTTTAGACCTAGCATGCCTTTCAGAGCCTCTTGCTTGTTGGTTCCAGGTGGTTGTGTCAAGTGACCCAAGGGCCTTTGCATCTTCTTTGGCTCTCCTTGGTCCTGGGCTGCTAGGTATAATGTGCTTCCTCACCTCCCCCTTTGAATCCCTATGGGCCCACTGATCTTGGGGGTCAGCAGGGCTTTGTGTACAGTAGCAGAAGGTGCCCTGAGTGAGAGGTGGGCAGGCTGTACCCTGGTACTACCTCAGGCACTGCCTCTGGTGGTGTTTTGATAGGTGCCATCCCTCACCTGCCTGGCTTTGTTTGTTTCCTTGGGATGATGGTCCCTGCCCAACCTTCCTGCCATGGCTGTGGTAAGAGCCAGGGAGAGTCAGGCAAGTGGCAGGGTCAGATGTGCTCTGGAAACAGCAGGTGAGGGCTCTTGCAGTGTCCTCGCCTTTGCCTACTGTCCTCAGTGTCTCTGCAGGCTTCATTCTTTCTCTCACAGTGACCCATGGGCTTGCCCTCCATGCTTAGACCTGGGTGACCCAAGAGCATCTGTCTCAACAGATCCTCCAGGTTATGTCACCTGGGAAGGCCCTGATCTGCCGTCCCAGGTACTGGTGGGAGCCTGACCACCAATATACTCTGAAGTGGTCTGGAGTTTTCTTGCGTTGTCTTGCTTTTATGCGGGGTGTGTCTATTTTATTGGTGAATAATACTCTGCCAGGGAGGTAGGTGAATTTCATAGGTGTCAGATCCATTTTATTGCTTAAGAGGCCAAGGTCCTCACTGTTCAGTGATGGAAGGAAGGGAGCGTTGATTCAACAGTGTTTACAAAGGAGCAGTGGCACAGCAAGGGAAAACATGCCATCAGGAGTGGTTAGGAGGCATGCCCTTATTCTCATTCTCTGTTCTCTCACCCCTGCAGAAACTGCCAGTGATGCCATCCCTCTGCAGCGGTCCCAGTCTCTCCCACACTCGGCCACAGTCACGCTGAGTGGGATGCCTGACCCGAGCACCCTCAGCAGCTCAGCGCTGAGTGACAGAGAGGCCTCTCGGCTTGACAAGTTCAGGCAGCTGCTCGCTGGCCCCAACACAGACCTTGGTAAGCTCCCTGCAGGCTCGTGGACATAGACAGTTGTTTCTTGTGGTTTCTGAAATGTGCTGTCTTGAAGGACTCCATGTGGGGTTATATTATACAATCACTTCCATGTGTAACTTGCTCTGGAAGTAGGTGATATGTTTGTATTTTCATGCCAGTAAGTCACTGAGATAGCAGTAATTTGTACTGATTGTTTTCTTTGGACACGTCTTGTTATTTTCTCAATGCAATTTGGTAATATATTTTCTGTTCTTTTTTCTTAATGTCCCAATTGCACTCTTTCTTATGGCTGCCCTCGGTGAGCTCTTTGAGGCTGGCCGGGTAGATGTCCTTGTTCTTCATAGTGTCATGAAGACAGTGGCTCATAGGGGCACAGGCCTGGTGACCACCACCTGGACTGACTGATTTTGCACTTTTCTGTCATGGTGTGGGGGTTGATGGAGAGTGACAGGCTGTGAGCACTGGAGGGAGGCCAAGGTGAGGCCAGGACAGAGGGGCAGGCCTGCAGGGGATAGCAGTCACCAGCACGATTCTTCCTAGGCTGTCTACTTCCAGGCACACAGTGTAGTGTGGACATACTGTGGCCAGGCTCTGAGGAACACACTCACTTCAAGTCCCTTGAATGGAATTCCCCTTGAATTCATGTTCTTTCATTTACATATCTCATCCTTGTTGAGTGCCACTCCATGTTAGTCATTTGCTAGATGCTGGAGTTCTCAGGAGAATCAGAATGTGGCCTTGATCATGAGATCACTTAGTTGTGGGGACGAACATGTAAACAGTTATGGCTGGTGCCACAGTAGCACTCTGAGAGCCACATGCAATGCCCGACTCGGCCAGGAGGTGGCGAGTGGGGCACGTGGATGGGCTAGGAGCCTTGTAGGAGTCCCACTTTCATGCTCAGAGGCGGAGGGGAAGGGGGAGTTCAGGGGCAGAAGCAGCAGTTCAGAGGGCATGACTGAAGCTGCCTGCCGGAGGCTAGGGGAGGGCAACTCTCAAAAGGTCTCACAGCTCATGGGACATAGCTCTGTCTCTGAGTACCGTTCTCAAAGGGGGTTAATTTCTCTTCATTTTGTTTTTATTTTTATTTTAACATAGGCATTTGCCTATGTTACAGCATTACAAAGCACACCATGGGGTGCAGTGAAAATGGTCTGCTTTCCTCTGTCCCAGACTCTACTTTTTCTTCCTTTTCACAATTACAAGTATCTCTTCTAGAGACTGCCTATGTACATATTGTTTTAGATATTTTATTTTGATGTAATTTCAAATGTATAGAAAAGTTGTGAAAATAAAACAGGCAACTCCCGTATGCTCTTGACTCAGATCCACCAATTGCTTACATTTGCCCCTTTACCATTCTGCATGTGTGCACCTGTTTTTGTGTATATACTTTCCCCCTGAACCATTTGAGTGTCAGTTTAAGATATAGCCCTTGATGCCTAAAAGTTTCACTGCGTATTTCCTAAGAGCAAAGACATTATCTCAATATAATCATGGTACAGTTGTCAAAATCAGGAAATTTTGCATTGACACAATACTATGTTAATATTATTTTTTTTATAATCCACAGTCTATATTCACATTTTGTCTATTGTTCCAATAATATGCTTTCTAGCTTTCTTTTTCCTTGTCCAGGATCCATTGGGGGACCATGCGTTCCATTCAGGTGTCCCGTTTCTGAAATCTCCATCAACCTGGACCAGTAACGCAATCTTTCTCTGTGTTTTGATCTTGACATTTTAGAAGAGCACAGGCCAGTTATTTTGTAGACTGTCCCTTGGTTTGCATTTTTCTGATGTTTCCTCATGATGAGATTCAGGTTAATAATTTTTGGCAGGAGCATCACTTAAGAGATTTGTGTTCTTGGTTGTCATAGTGGGAGGCACATGATGTTGGTTTGTCCCAATATTGATGATATTGATGCTGATCTCTTGGTTAACGTGGTGTCTGCCAGTTCTTTCCACTGAAAAGTTACTCTTTTTCCTTGGTAATTAAGAAGTAATTTGTGGAGAGATACTTTGGAGTCTGTGCATTTATACAGTGTATTTTCTTTCTCCACATGAGTGGTAACACTGCTCTGTACCTCACTTTTTAAATTGAACTATATATTTTCTCATAATAGTACATAGAGAACTGCCTTTATATTTACCATGCTCTACAGTGTGCCATTCTATGCATTCCCCATGGTGTACTCCACCAGACCCTCTTCGTGGGTGTGCAGGTTATTCCTCATTTCCTGTTATTATAAGCAATGTGAGAACTTTTCTTCAGGCATTTGAACCTCATGCTGTGATGATGACATTCACAGAGCATTTCTAGACATGGTTGGGGAGAGAGGGCAGAGTGGAGGATGGTCTGTGGTTTGGGCTTGAACATTGGGTTAGTGGAAGTCTCACCACCAAATAGAAAATAAAAGTGGATCATGTTTAAAAGAGTGTAGTCCTGTGGTTTAAGTACTCACCTTAGCCACTTTCTTTTCTAGAATGATAGCACACCTTCTCTGCTGGCTTCAGATACATCTGAGGTAGTGTAGGGAGGCAAAACCAAGTTGTGCCTGTGAGAGTAGGTTCTGGAACCGGGCTGCCCCATGGAGAGCTGGCTCCACTGATTCCTCACCGTGTGACCTTGAGCAGGCTTGGTAATGATCTCGTGCTTCAGTGTTCGTGTTCATGTGATAGGCAAAATGAGAGCAGTAGTAATCTTGCAGAATAAATGAAACAGTACACATAAAATGCTTAGGAGAGTACATAGCACATAGTAAACGCTCAAAAATATTAGTTGTCTTTATTATGTTCTTTTGCATTGGTCCATTTGTCCTCTAACTTGATTTTTACGGCGTTGATATATATGATCACTTTTGTGGTCATTGACAAGGCAAGGTGGCTTGCAGATATTTTCCTGGTTGTATCCAGTGGTTTTCAGCAGTAGGCAGGTGTCAAGGATTCAGCTGGTAAAAACAAAACTTGCCTTCTGGGAATCCATGCTGGGTCAGGCTCTGAGCAGTCAACAAGAATCTTCTTGTGGACTTTGTCATTGAAGCAACTTTTGAAGAATAAAATTATACTTAAAAGTAAAGCTTTCAAGACTTGTGGGAAAATGTGAATATGTTTGGATGGATTGAAAGGTTAGCATGTAAAAGCTGGATTCTTTTGTTAGGTTGATGGGATAATGTTTTTTTCTCTCTCTTCAGAATTCTGTTTAAATATCAAATCTAAAATCAAAAACTAAATCCAGAGCTTTCAAAGTTAAACAATTACTGGCTTTGTATTTAGTGGCAAGAGAAAACATAGCCAGTAAATTGCCTGTTTTTATAAGGCAGTTAAGATTGCTTTGGAAGACTGTGGAATAGACTGTCTTCACATTACATAAAAGACATAAGTGGCAAATATTTGCCAATGTTGGAGAAGCAAATCACTGATGTGAGAAGTGCCCACAGAAATGATTCTACCTGCTGAATATCATTTTGTCCAGCGGAGTGCTGTTTTTCTTTGTTTAGTTTACGCTCCGTTATGAGCCTGGGGATGAAAGTAGCAAATAGAACTTAACAGCTCATTTTACTCTTAGCATTGGCTCAATATTTACTCATACAAAGACTGCCTGCTTTGAAGCCTGAGAAAATGACACTCATGTTGATCACGTGTATCTGGTGAATAGGACTACGATTTGGCAGCATGCAAAACATGCCATTTCCTGAGGATGCTGAGTGCCTGCCCCACAGCAGCGAGGCCTCTGAGGGCACACTGTGCTTTCAGCTCTGCTCTGGCGCTCAGGAGCTTTCAAAAATCAGAACAAAAGGCATTACCCTTTCTGTCAAGGAGTGGGGCCAGGCACACAGTCATGTTCTGATCCCCCTGAGTGAGCATCCAGTCTGGGTTTTAAGATTTAGGACGTTCTGGTAGATGGAGGTGTGGAGGAGAGAGTTTTTTGGGGAGTGTGGTGGGGGCAGGAGGGCATAAACAAAGGTACGTAGCTGTACCACCTTGGAAGTAGTAATGTGAGTAGATGTCGCTTCAAGGTCTGTAGCTGGAGGAAAGCCCTGCCAAGGCCTGGGCCTTAATGACAGGCAGAGGCTGGTGCAGCCTTGGAGTTGATTGCTGAGGAGTGTGATTACTGGCCATGTCCTTACCCTTCAAGTGTCTCAATCTCCCTGTCTCATCAGCTGTAAAGGGGAAGTTAGACCTACCTTGCAGGCCCCTTGTGAAGGTAGGAGGTAATTTATGTAAAATTTATTCATTCAACCAGTATCTGTTGAGCACCTGCTGTGATTGTAGGTACCAGGGAGCAATAGGGAACCAGCCCTCCAGAGCCCTACCCTCAGGGGCTGACATTCTTGTGTGAGGAGACAGACACTCACTCACTTACTTACTTAGTACTCCTGAATCCATCAGAAGACAGTAAGCATTACGGAGAGTCATACTGTGCCGAGGGGTAGAGGTAGGTGCTTCTGTAGAGTGGGTGGTCAGCACAGGTCTGTTTGAATAGGGTGCTTCTGGGTGAGATCTGCATGGAGGTAGGCATTTGAAGTGGGCACAAGCACTCTAGGGAGAGGGGCCAGAGGTGCAAGGGTCCTGTGCTGGAGTCGAGCTTCCTGTGCTTGAGGAATGGAAGCAGCTGCTGAGACTGGCCTAGTGAGTCAGCAGGGAGATGAGAGAGGACAGCAAGCTAGGGAGGGACCAGGTCCCCAGGCTTGAGAAGGCCAGGAGAAGGATCCCAGCTTTTAATTGGAGCGTAGCATGCAACCTCTGGGAGGTTTTGAACCAGGGGAGTGAAGCTTGGTGCCGACCATCAGAAGGTGACTGCTGTTCTATGGAAGAAGAACCACTGAGAGCTTCTGAGCAGGGTGTTGCCAGTGACCATGGACTAGGTAGATTCCTTGGGCAGCCACTTGGGAGTGGGGGTGGGGGAGGGTGCAGGGCAGGATTGTAGGCTGTGAGGAAGAGGTGAGGGCCTGGCTGGGGATGAGTGGGGTGTGGGTGGTCAGTTCCACAGGTGTTATAGGG